CGATTCCGAACAATTTTTTTATTGTGGAACATTGATTGTTTATAAATTATTTATAGAAAATTCCCAAAATTGTGAAAAATTGCAATTTCTCAATTTTTAAAAATTTTTAAAATGTTTTCTAAGGGTTCAATATTGAGGGTTAAGTTCAGACCTGCAATGTTTTATTAAAATTAAAACTATCAAAATTAAAATTAAATTTATTTTATTACATACAAAATCTGGTAACTCTATTGCACAATTTTTCATTTTTTATTAAATTAATTATCAATCAACCTGTTCAATTTTTCAAATATTTTATAAGCTCGTAATCAATTTCGCAGGAATGATGATCATTAGATTAATCAAAAAATTAAATGCAGATATTCAGAATTAATTGTTCAATTATAATACGGAATGAAATATTATTTTCAAATTAAAAAAAAATAGCCAAAGTACTTGCATATCCTTAATAATTCTTTCACAGACCATTAAACAAAATTACGCGTAAAAATAAAAATAAATGTCTTGATATAACACAGAAAATCCGAAAAATGAGTTTAAAAAAATACAAATCTGTCATCGAAAATAAAAAGGAAAGAATCAATGAAAAAAATTTCAATAATTTTCCATAAATGATTGAACATGAACATAAAAATAAAAATGAATCAGTTTCCTAACAAAAATAACAAAAACTGTTCCCCCGAAATTATGCAATTTAAAACCACGTAAGAGGAACAAAAAATTGAGAAACATTTAAGACCAGTGATTACCACCCTCCCCACAAAAAACAATAACCCCTCAACCTCAAAACCCCTTTAACACTCCCCGAACTAAAAATTACGTCGGCACTCTCAGTTGTGGTGGAGCGGTAATATCACCCGGTGTTTTCGGAGCCACTCCCGGTGACCACGAAGATGCAATGAGATAAAACAGTCACCAGAGAGGACCCGAGCAAGCCGAGAGAAAAAAAAAGCACAAAAGCCCCCAGGAATATATATATTTGAAGAGAAAACGGGCGAGAGAGGGAGAGAAATGATGAAACCGGTTGGATTGTGTGTGGAGGCCCTCGGAGATGCATTTATACGCCCGAAGGAAACTGAGAAGTGGTCACCGAATACGGCAGCAAAGCTTCCTCGGTTATCGGTAGTACGCACTCTCTCGTATCCCCCTCCTGGTGGACAGAAGTGAAGGGGAAATATACACTCGATAGATATCATTGCGGGTGTATATCGTTGGAGAGCCCTCGTCCCATTCATTCGCTCGCACGAGCGCCCCTCTCTCCATTTTTATTTCGATTTCTATCGTATTCCTTTTGCATCACCATCGCGGAATATATATTATTACCACTTCCGCAATGCCCCCGGCTATTTTTCTCCCCCAACCCCTCTCTTATCTGCTCTTCCGTGTTAAAGTGGCTTTTTTCTTATTCTCTCTGTAGAATTAAATTGATTAGGTGATAGATTGGTGGACAAAGAAAAAGATGCTAGAAATGTTATTTTTATTGTTCTTTTCTCCATCGTTCTCTGTAATTTCAAATAAATTTTACAGTCCCTTCATGCTCGTTCGTTCGTACATTTTTTTAAATCTTTGAAATTTTAGGTTTCTCAAGAATTAGGCACAATTGAGGATTGTTTAGTCATTGAAAAATAAGGCGACAATGGCAGATGAGTGAAGTGTTTCGATAGAATTAATCTGGCATTGAAACTGTATTTTTATATTTCGAATTTTAGGATTGAATAGAATTTTGTGAATCAACGATACGTAAATTTGAAATGTCCTTTTGCATCCGCCGCGGAATATATATTATTACCACTTCCGCAATGCCCCCGGCTATTTTTCTCCCCCATCCCCTCTCTTATCTGCTCTTCCGTGTTAAAGTGGCTTTTTTCTTATTCTCTCTGTAGAATTAAATTGATTAGGTGATAGATTGGTGGACAAAGAAAAAGATGCTAGAAATGTTATTTTTATTGTTTTTTTCTCCATCGTTCTCTGTAATTTCGAATAAATTTTACAGTCCCTTCATGCTCGTTCGTTCGTACATTTTTTTAAATCTTTGAAATTTTAGGTTTCTCAAGAATTAGGCACAATTGAGGATTGTTTAGTCATTGAAAAATAAGGCGAAAATGGCAGATGAGTGAAGTGTTTTGACAGAATTAATCTGTCATTGAAACTGTATTTTTATATTTCGAATTTTAGGATTGAATAGAATTTTGTGAATCAACGATACGTAAATTTGAAATGTCCTTTTGCATCCGCCGCGGAATATATATTATTACCACTTCCGCAATGCCCCCGGCTATTTTTCTCCCCCATCCCCTCTCTTATCTGCTCTTCCGTGTTAAAGTGGCTTTTTTCTTATTCTCTGTAGAATTAAATTGATTAGGTGATAGATTGGTGGACAAAGAAAAAGATGCTAGAAATGTTATTTTTATTGTTCTTTTCTCCATCGTTCTCTGTAATTTCAAATAAATTTTACAGTCCCTTCATGCTCGTTCGTTCGTACATTTTTTTAAATCTTTGAAATTTTAGGTTTCTCAAGAATTAGGCACAATTGAGGATTATTTAGTCATTGAAAAATAAGGCGAAAATGGCAGATGAGTGAAGTGTTTCGATAGAATTAATCTGTCATTGAAACTGTATTTTTATATTTCGAATTTTAGGATTGAATAGAATTTTGTGAATCAACGATACGTAAATTTGAAATGTCCTTTTGCATCCGCCGCGGAATATATATTATTACCACTTCCGCAATGCCCCCGGCTATTTTTCTCCCCCATCCCCTCTCTTATCTGCTCTTCCGTGTTAAAGTGACTTTTTTCTTATTCTCTGTAGAATTAAATTGATTAGGTGATAGATTGGTGGACAAAGAAAAAGATGCTAGAAATTTCATTTTTATTGTGTTCTTTTCTCCATCGTTCTCTGTAATTTCAAATAAATTTTACAGTCCCTTCATGCTCGTTCGTTCGTACATTTTTTTAAATCTTTGAAATTTTAGGTTTCTCAAGAATTAGGCACAATTGAGGATTATTTAGTCATTGAAAAATAAGGCGAAAATGGCAGATGAGTGAAGTGTTTCGATAGAATTAATCTGTCATTGAAACTGTATTTTTATATTTCGAATTTTAGGATTGAATAGAATTTTGTGAATCAACGATACGTAAATTTGAAATGTCCTTTTGCATCCGCCGCGGAATATATATTATTACCACTTCCGCAATGCCCCCGGCTATTTTTCTCCCCCATCCCCTCTCTTATCTGCTCTTCCGTGTTAAAGTGGCTTTTTTCTTATTCTCTGTAGAATTAAATTGATTAGGTGATAGATTGGTGGACAAAGAAAAAGATGCTAGAAATGTTATTTTTATTGTTCTTTTCTCCATCGTTCTCTGTAATTTCAAATAAATTTTACAGTCCCTTCATGCTCGTTCGTTCGTACATTTTTTTAAATCTTTGAAATTTTAGGTTTCTCAAGAATTAGGCACAATTGAGGATTATTTAGTCATTGAAAAATAAGGCGAAAATGGCAGATGAGTGAAGTGTTTCGATAGAATTAATCTGTCATTGAAACTGTATTTTTATATTTCGAATTTTAGGATTGAATAGAATTTTGTGAATCAACGATACGTAAATTTGAAATGTCCTTTTGCATCCGCCGCGGAATATATATTATTACCACTTCCGCAATGCCCCCGGCTATTTTTCTCCCCCATCCCCTCTCTTATCTGCTCTTCCGTGTTAAAGTGACTTTTTTCTTATTCTCTGTAGAATTAAATTGATTAGGTGATAGATTGGTGGACAAAGAAAAAGATGCTAGAAATTTCATTTTTATTGTGTTCTTTTCTCCATCGTTCTCTGTAATTTCAAATAAATTTTACAGTCCCTTCATGCTCGTTCGTTCGTACATTTTTTTAAATCTTTGAAATTTTAGGTTTCTCAAGAATTAGGCACAATTGAGGATTATTTAGTCATTGAAAAATAAGGCGAAAATGGCAGATGAGTGAAGTGTTTCGATAGAATTAATCTGTCATTGAAACTGTATTTTTATATTTCGAATTTTAGGATTGAATAGAATTTTGTGAATCAACGATACGTAAATTTGAAATGTCCTTTTGCATCCGCCGCGGAATATATATTATTACCACTTCCGCAATGCCCCCGGCTATTTTTCTCCCCCATCCCCTCTCTTATCTGCTCTTCCGTGTTAAAGTGGCTTTTTTCTTATTCTCTGTAGAATTAAATTGATTAGGTGATAGATTGGTGGACAAAGAAAAAGATGCTAGAAATGTTATTTTTATTGTTCTTTTCTCCATCGTTCTCTGTAATTTCAAATAAATTTTACAGTCCCTTCATGCTCGTTCGTTCGTACATTTTTTTAAATCTTTGAAATTTTAGGTTTCTCAAGAATTAGGCACAATTGAGGATTATTTAGTCATTGAAAAATAATATAATCGCGTCTTTGGTCCTCCACACCACAGTGATTACAAAAAATAAGGCGAAAATGGCAGATGAATGAAGTACTTTGACAGAATTAATCTGTCATTAAAACTATCTTTTCATATTTCGAGTCGATAGTCACATTTTACTCCTTCGAAGTATTAAAACAATTGTAACAATCTCCTGATCTGACTAGAAGAGGACTAGATTCGTCGGTTCATCTGAAGCCAATTAATTTAAACTTAATCCTAGAATTGAATGAAACTCTGTCAATCAACGATTCGTAAATTTCAACTGTTCATTTGCGTCGTTGACTCGTCGCAGCACAATTGCAATCGAGAAGGCACGTCTTTAACTTTGGCACTTGCACAATGAAATTACAATCTCGTTTATTCTGCTCGACGATGGGTGAACAGACGAAGGCAGTCAGAAAGAATGTCTTTTGAAACCCGTTTCCATCTTGGAAAGGCAACTGGACGATTCAATGCAACCAGTTCGGTACTTTGAGATACGAAACATCACGTGGACATCGTTAATGTTCATTCGGTTTTTTTTATTCACGGTATCATTCTTCTCTCGTCAAACACTTCCTAGTTCATTCATTATCATCTCGGGGATGTGCATGATACTGGTGATGGTTTCGTGTGGAAATTCAAGGAGGAAGGCGGAGGCGGCTGGAAAAAAAATATTCAATTTATTTTTCATTGAAGGTTCGACGATATTTTGAACATCCTTTGGATTCAATTTTCTTCGGTCTTTTCGGACGCGAACTGATGAGAAAATTTTATTATTAAAATTTGGAAAAATTGAATCGCAAAAAAACTTTTTCAATGTGAATTAGGAATTTATATTTAACAATGTTATGGCATTATAAATAAGAATGTAAATTGGTTAGACTATATTTGTGCCATAAAATCGATTGTTTATAAATTATTTACAGGAAAATATCGTAATCTACCAATAGGAGAATTTCGCGTGAATTTTCTTCAATTTTGTGGAAACGAATTAATGAAAACATTTATTTTGATGAAGGTTTTTTCATTGAAGATTTGTATTGAAAAAGCTTTCCATCAATTTTAATTGACGAAATTGTACGGATTGACACGATTCAATTTTTTTTCGGAAATCAGCGAATGCAAATTTCTTTGGAAAATCCCCGAATTTTCCAAATGCTGTTGAGAACTCCAGAATTTTCTCAATTTTTTCCTAAAAATTCCCGAGAATTTTCTTAAAATTCTCAGAACGGTATTAAAATCCTGAGCTTTTGACGCACAACAAATCAAGACCAATTCTTTCTCCAATAATTGATGGTCAATAAGTTTTGTGAAGATGGGAAATATGAAGGAAATTTAATATTCTTTAATTGAGTGAAAATTTTTTTATTGAGAAAAATAATTTCAAATTTATGTCAACTAAAAAAATAATTTTCAAAAATTTACCTCGATGACGGTTAATGCATTAAAGATTTGTCATTAAAAACCTATCAATTCTTCTAAAAAATCTATCAATTTTAATAGAAGAAATTGTACCGATCGAAACAAATCAATTTTTTTCTGTGAATGCAAAATTCCTTTGAAAAATCCGTAATTTTCCTGAAATTCTCAGAACATCATTAAAACCCCGAGCTTGCGCTGCACGACAAACCGAGACCAATCGCTTCTGACAAATTTAACATTGAATGCACTTCAAAACCGTTTTAATGCCAAATAGCAGAAAGTCCCTAATCTACTGTGCAGTAATGAATCATCGCACCTGCATCAGGCCTCTTGCAGGTCTCCTTTTGTACCGGGCACACCGTGTTGATGCCTCGTAGCCAATTTGTTCGCCAATTCGTGCATCACATCTCGGTAGATGACAGTGTCCAAATTTTCGCCGAGCATGTAGAGGAGAAACCAGTCCCCAACTTTGCTTCGACGGACTATCGTTTCCACTGCGTCCCTGCGGACGAGACGAAACCGCAGGCGGAGGAGGTATACTCTGGTGCGAGGGGAAAATATTATGACAATCTATAAAAAAAAATTAGTTCCGTAATTAATACAGTTATAATTAACAAAAAATTATTATCATCTTTATTTTAAGTTTCAGTTCATATTAATTATCAAATAAAACTACAAATTAAAAAATAATCATTTTTGCTCAATTTAATTCCGATTGCCATTGATGTTAATAATTGAAAAATCATATAGATTTTAATTTTTTCAACTATTAATGGCAATTAAAATTGAAATAAAATAGAAATTTGAATATAAAAAATGAATAAAAATTGAAAAATATTACTTTTTCATTTAATTACATTTTTTATAATTTTTTAATTGCAATTAGTAATGACTCACTCTGTACAAAACAGTCACAAGACTGAGAATCCCAAGAAATAGGAACCAGAACCACAGGAACACATAAATCTTCTCGTTGACAACATTCAACGGAAGTATGCAAACAGCGTCGTGTCTCTCCACCTCTCCACTGACTCCGTACTTGTAAAAAGTACACTTGGTCATCCTTGGAAAAACATAGATCATGGGATCGACACGATCCTCCTGATCCGACTCTATGAACCTCAGTACATCGATGCCAAATGTGAGAAATGCACCGTCGAAAAAGCGATTCATGAGGAACATCTGACCTGTGCATAAAAACTAAACTCAACAATTGCTTTGGGAAGGTGCACCCGAGAGAAAATTTCGTAGAATAACCTGGCGGATTTGATGGAAAATTCTATTGAATTTTTATTGAAAATTCGGTTATTTTTTCGCCGATTCTACTGAAGAATTTTGCGCCTTTACTATGCAGTTTTCTAATAAAAAATGTCCAATAGAAATTGTTTTATAGAAAAAATCAATTGATTTCATTTTTCTATACGAATTTTGCTATTGAGACATTTTCTATAGAAATTCCTCGACATGAATTTTTCGAGTTTTTTTTTCGCTCTATTTTTCTTCGTTTTTCTTAAGAAAATTAAACAAAATAATTTGGAAAATAACAGCCCAGGATTTCTATAGGAAATATCTCAAGAGAATAAGTTGTGTAGAAAAATTGAATTCTCCAGATTTTTTCCACTGAATATTTTTCAGTTCCATTGAACATTTCTGTTCTATACGTGGGGTGGTGATCAAAAGATTATGATGATGAGTGTTCATTATAACTTTCATTGCTTGGTCCCATTCGGCGCGAGCCAAGTGGGTTGGTGCCAAATATAATCGGACATTGTAGGAATTGCTTTCATTCAGAGGAACATTAATGCTGCTATTGTTTATTGTTGCACGATGATTGTTTCGACTTGACCAATACAACAAATTGTTATTCTGAGATTTATTTCTTGTCAAATAATTTATGATTAATGGGCTGCTGTGAGGGTGGAAAATTGAAAGGGAATTTATTTTTTCTTAGTTGAGCAAATGATTTTTTTTTATCCAGAACAATAATTTTTTCATTTAACTCGATGGAGGTCAATTTATTAATAATGTCTCCTCACGTGATTCAATTCACAAATTCGATGACTAAAAATGTATTGCCTTAACAATAACAAAATCTTCCCATCACTTTCCTTCAAATTCCATATAACCCTATTAGAAAATTAAATTAAAATTCATGGAATCAACATTTCAAGAATTATTTTTTGTAATCGCATGAAGTGAGAGAACGCCCACGTACGCGAATGATGAAATTCAACAGTGGCTCGATGGCTCGGCTCATTAATAAAGATGGCGGTTGCCCTCACCTCGCATTTTCAACCATTTCCCAAAATTATTTATCCCCTCCAGATCACCCTCCCCTCACTTCATCCTATTCCCACAAAATGAACAAATTTTTTAAGCCATCCCCCAGATTTTTCCACCCCCTTTTGGCCGAGAATTCACGGCGCAAAGTTTCCCCCGCATTTCAGCAGTTTTTCTCACTCCCAACGCCTCTTAAAAACCCTCTGTCAATCGTAATAAAAAGATGTTTGTTTTGTGTTTTACGTTAACTTGTGTTTGAATGTAATGGACAAAGCAGAACCTCAGTTTTTCCACGCATTAACCCCCCTCCAGGTCCTCTTATTCACATCATCCTTTTACCAACTCACCGACGACGTTCAGCAAGGCAAGCACTTCGCAGAGATAATATCTGTAGGCCCACCAGTTGTGGTAGCGTAGATTTTCCCACAGATAATCGAGAAGCATTTTCTTCTTCTGCTTCTTCTCGACCTCGGAGCAAAGACCGATGTCGAGGTCCATCATCAGGGCGTGAATCTTGCCGCCCTCCCAGCCCTTCCACAACCATCTTGGTGTATAAAACAGTATTGCCTGGAAGTAGATAAAAGCGAGAGGTCGGGTGATTATTTCACGGTTGGTTTGGGCTTTTTAATGGCGAGGTCAGCATCACATTAATTACAGAAGGCTGGGGGGAAAAATGATGAATTCTTCGGTGATCAGTGTTACTGATAGATGAAATATGCTGACGGGGATTGGCTGGGGGAAATAGTAAATAATGGTTGTAATGGAAATCGTCTGGAGGATTTGTTATAAAATCTTCATTCTTGCAATTTTTATTCAATTTTTTCGGAGCACTAGTATTTGAATAGAAATTATAGTTAAATGAGGTGGATTTTCCGGAATGAATGAAACGAAGAGAAAAGGTTACGGAAATTTGTCATTTATTTGGAGAATATTTTGAAAAAATTAAACGAAGACATTCTAAATAAATTTGAATTCACAATTTGATGAAAAAATCAATTGAGGACTGCGAATTTTAGTTCAATTATTCTGTCAAAATAATAAAATTTGGGTAAATTGGGGGATTGAGTGCTTGATTAACTGAAGATTCAGGGTAATTTGTTGCTGATTGTTCATATTTTCACTGGAAATTTAATTCCGTTGTCTTCCATTGAATTTTTCGTGAAATAATGTTTAATTAATTCTGTGCGTCACTCTCTCCGTAATTTAAGAAATTACCTATTGTTATTCTAAGAATATATTTCACTTCAACTAAATGGATTTTTGGCACTCAATTTTCGAGATTTTCCTCCTTAAATTGAGCAACCAATTCCGTATTGTTTAAACAATGCATGTGAGAACTGAGAGTTTTCTTAAAACAATAACTTTATTTAAAAAATTGAATACTTTTTCTTCGGTAATAATTCTGACTATATTTTCCTCTCCGTGTATCACATTGTTAAGAAATTTTGGCAGCAATTTTCGATCTACTTCTTGGAAATTTTGATCGCGTTATAGTTCCACTGAAATTCCAAGGAAATTCGTCATTGAAAATCCGAAATTTTATGCAAAAATCTATAAAAACCGTAAATTTTAATTTTATTCAAAACAAAATATATTTTAAGTAAATTAAAAATACATTAAAATTATATTAATATATTAATATTTTTAATACACATTTTTTCATATTAAATTTTCATTTTATTAATCCAATCATTTCATGAGAATTACTAAAAATGAATAAAATTCAAATAAATTGCTGCATTATTTTGGAATTCCATGACTATTTCTCCGAAATGGATTGCGATGTCACTCCTAAAAATTACAAATAAAAAATCCACGAAATTTCAATGCTTTCTCCCACCACTTCAATTATTTTCTGCAATTACAAAACCCCGAGGAAAGAATGATGAATTCCTCTCCGATCAATATCCCCGATAAATAGAAATACTCAGCGATCCCGAGGCCCTGCTAAGGAAATCATAAATAACCATTTTGCACTCGTAACTCGCAGTTAATTCGCTGAAATTTACAGCGTTATATATTTGCTTTAATAGAAGAGTAACGAGAGTGCGCGTGTGGGGGTAGGGGTATGTGCCTTGCACGTTGAAATTTTTCGTCATGCCCCGCCGAAGGAGTCATAAACCAATTCCACAAAGCCACTTGGGCTGCGGTTACACGTTTATCCGCAGTCAGCGCTGAATTATTTTTCACACTTTTGTAATAACATTGGGGGAGAGCGATGTGTCCTCATTTAGACGGAGGTCTGGCCCCGGGGGCAATTCCATTGTCTCGGTCGCTCACTCGTGTCCAATATTTGTTTTCACGAGCTCGGGGTATCCTTACGAAACTTCGGACAATGCCGGGAGGGATTTATTTTCGGGGATATCAGCTGGCATGTGCATACGATTTCTTTTGTTTCGGGAGGGGAGAGTCACACGAGTTTGAGGAGGAACAAATGTTGTGGAGATTCAACGAGAATTATTCGTTTCATAATTTAATTTCCATTTTCATTTTCATTATTAATTTTTGGTAGTAACTGTGACATTTGGATTATTCTTCTTTCAAATCTTGAAAACTTCATTGTTATCTTTATTTTTAGTATTATTTGTTATTATTTTTATGGGAAAATGAAAGAGTGGAATTCATTGCAATTTATACACGCAAGAATGTATTATAAAAATAAATAATAGAAAAAAAATTGAGATTTAACCATTTCCAATCATCAAATTTGTCAATTAAATTGTTTCAGAAAAATTTGCACAAAATTATAATTTTTTTAATATTCGTTGTTCATTAATAAATCATTGAAATTGTTCAAACTTTTGAAAACATTATTTTTTAGGCATGAATTTGATTTCTGGTAAGATTCTGAAAATTAATAAATTTGTTGCGGTTCCGAACAGATGATTTTTATGGTGGACAATTGATTGTTCATAAATTACTTATAAAAAATGCCCGTTACTTTCTAAAAATGCAATTTTTAAAATTATTTCATCAATTTTCCTCCAAAAATAAAGTTTTTAATTTTTTTTTTCAGATTTTTCAAATGTTTTCTAATGGTTCTTAGGGTTTAATGGGGCTCAAATGGAAGCTCTGATCTGCTTGTTCGATTGTACAAGTAGAAAAGCAAAAGTAATTGGATATCCTTAAGGATAAAAATAAATGATAAGAGAAAAATCATTGCACAATTTTTAATTTTTTGTCAATTACCTTTCAATTTTTAAAGTAACCTGATCATCACCCGTTGAAAATTGTTGACAATTGTTGAAAAATAAAGGAAGTGATCAATTGATTTTCTATAATAACGATCAATTTTCTCGATTTTTCACAAGAAGAAATGAAGAAAAAATCAAATGATAAATTTGAAGAAATGAATGAATGTATGATTCACATCAATTAATTTTTGAATTATATTTTTCAGATTGATTTTGAAGCGTGTGAACTATCTTTATTAGCGAAAAATAAATTGATGTTGTCAATCTAGTCGATATTGTCATGAAACCTCCGATAACTCATTATCTTCACTGTAGCTGATCCTTCAGAATCTGTCGGCTCTTTATTTCACTAGCAGCTCATCCGGATTTATACCGTTCGTCTCCCCGAGGCAGAAGGTCCTCAGTAAATTCCAACACGTCTTTCTAGTTTAATAAAAATTTTATGGGATTCTCATTGGGAAGTTCGTAAAATTCGCTCAAATTTTATGATGTTCATGGAGTGTGAGATGGATTTTATGGGGTGGTTAAAGTTATTTAAAGTACCAAGTGAGACAGCAATGAAAATTACATTTTTTCCATGAACCGGCCATTTTAACTATTTTTTTTCCATAAAAAATACTTTAAACGTTTCTGTTACTCAAAACTTTCTCGAAATCAAGTTAATTTAATTAAAAAAATATTTTAAAAATAAATTCCAATCATTAATTATTAACCTTTATTAATTATTAATTAAGATGAAAAAATTATCAACAGATACTGAATATTTTTCTCCCCCCGGCCAATTAATTATTCGGAATTGCCATTCCCGAGAACCACAAGCACATCGAGATTCCTCCCAGCTCCAATTACATTGTTCCCCCAAGCCCCCAGCACTTCAATAAATCCAAAAGAAATCCCCTCCCAACATAAGCAACTTATTCAACCGCCTTTATTCCCTAGAAATCTTTACTTCGAAATCATCGGTAGTTGCACTGTGGAATCTCCAGGCCGTTAATTACCGGATATCATGCAGCATACTCATGAAAGGCGAAAGATATCTTTTATCCACCCGAGTTGGACCTTTCCCCCTGTGGAAAAATCAAAAGCACAGGAGCGTGTAATGCCATTGGAACGTGTGGATTCCGCTGCTTGTGGATAGAGAAAGACACTCGGTGGATCGTTAATTACATCGGTGGATGTGTGCTATGTTCATTCCTTTCAACCATCCAGCGAATTATGGTATTGAGCTACTGAGTCATTAATCCAACACCCCAAGAAGCTATCGCAAGATATTCATATTCAGAATAAGAAGAAATCGGGAGATATATGAAACTCAAGTAAATAATCGGGGGGATCTACACGTAAATCACAGAAAACACGCAAAATTCAGTTCCTTATCCGTTCATTCTGAGTAAGACGCAGGTTTTCAACCTCAGTTCAGAGCTTTTTATCAACCTTACCGAGAAACTATATGAAACTCATTTATATTGATTAGAAGGTCACTATCAACCTTCATTGAAAGCTCTTTGTTGAACCTCACTAATAGCTTTTGTTGGATTTTTATATAAAGCTAATCAATAAAAGCTGTTCATCAATTTCAATTTAAAGCAATTTATCCACCTTCATCAGTCGTCTTTTACGTTTTGAAAAAGCTCATGTCAACCTCCCTCAAAAGCTATTTATCATTTTCAATGAAAAATGTTTGATTAATCTTGATAGAAACCCATTTTCATGATGTTAATAAAAAAATCTCATTACTTCCAACGAAAAGGTTTTTATCATGTCCAAACGGAGTTTTTTTCAACGTTATTTGCATGTTGACTATCAATCATTAGTAAAATAATAATAATGAAAATCTTGATGGAAAAGATGACAAAATAAGCTCTTTGCTTATTTATATTCATATTGATTAGAAGCTCTTGTCGAACTTTCATCAGAAGCTTTCATCAACCTTCGTCAACCTCGTCGTCGTTACCAATTGAAAGCTTTTTCGTGATCCTAATTGGAAACGTTCTATCAATTTTGATGATAAGCTTCAAGGATCAACCTTCAATTCATCAACCTTCATCAATAATTTTTTATGGTTTAAAAAAGCTCATATCAACCTCCGTTAAAAGCATTCCATCTCTTCAATTCTGAGACTCACAAAATCCATTGCCGAAAGGCCAGTTTCTATTCATTTATTTTTACGATTAAGAGCTTAATATCAACCTCAATTCAAACCTTTTTCATCAACCTTGAAGAGGATCTCTTCTTCAAATTTATTCATAATCATTAAATATCTAGAGCAACTTTAAATTGAAGTTCTTCATTAACCTTCATTAATGGTTTTTTTATTCTCCGAAATCTTTTTTAATGGAAAGCTCTCCATCTCAATTGCAAGCTCTTCATCAACCGCAATCAAACGCTTTTTATCAACCTCAAATGTGAAAATCAAATAAAAGTGATTGCCGGAATTTCAAACTAAATCATAGAAAACACGAAAAACCAGTTCTTCGCGGAATCTCAGAGGTTGGTCGTGTGAGAGGACTCCGAGAATACGGAACAATGGAAGGATGATACGAGCCTGGGAAGGCCACTAATTCCGGAATATTCCAGTGCCCCCACCACTCACTTCTGTCCCTTGTCTCGCATTTTCCAAAGGAGATTTTTTCACTATTCGTGTCAATGAACTTGTCGAATGGATGTGTACGTACTGAATAATGCAGTGAATGTGTCCCGCGGTTGAATTCACTTTTGCCATCTCGAGGCTGTAGTTGGATTGGTGCCAAATGTGGTAATGCACAGTGCGTGGGGATGGGGGGGATTTTTTATTTGGGACTGGTTGAGGTTTTCGGGCTGTGAGTGCCAGCAAAAAGACGGTTTAGGGCTTTGAAATCGTTAGGAAATTGATTTCTTCTATTTTTAGAAGTTATTTTCAGGGAAAATTGTGAACGATTTTTTTGTGGCTCAATCATCTTGTGACATTCTTTTCTAAAAACGGATATTGATGGGCAGTTGGAGATTTTTATTTGTGGAATTCTGAAATTTCCAACAATTTTTTCTACGATTTTTCGTTAATCAATTCTTAATTTTAGATTGAATTAAAATATATTTCTCTGAAATAAACTAGTTATTTTTACTTTTCCGGGACTTTTAGTCTTCAAAAAAACAAAATTCTACGAAAAATAATTCTCTCAGCTTTTTCCCGTCTTGAAAAAAATGGTCATGAATAAAAATTGCTAAAAAAAAATTTCCAAGATTCGATAAAAATACAATCCCTTTTTTCAATTGATTGTTGATAATCAATTTAATTGAAAAAAGCGAAACGACCGATGAGAATCTGTGTCCCGATCAATCAACTGTTAAATTTTCATATTATAATAAATGATTTGCTCATGTTCATAATTGCAATTCAATTCCTTCTAGAACACACTTTAGAGTGAATTTCTGGAATTCAATATAATCTCATAATTTTATTATGAGATAATCTCATAATTCTAGCTATTAATTCTACTCAACTTTGTTCGAAGAAAACGTTAGTAAGCGCAATATTAAGAAAGCAGAATTATTCTGTTTTCCTTTGCCCTAAATGATTTGGACAATTATGATTCGTTCATTCATGTTTCATAGAATGGGATTCAATTCTCTTTTGTTCGTCAGGCGGACTTCATGAAAATTCGACGCAAGACGATTGCACTCATGAAAACTCCCTTACTTTCTCCATTCGTTCGAGATGTCCCCCCCGTTCGAGTTTTCATTTTCGATTCGAGGTACTGCCCCTGCTTTTTTTGTATAAAACATTATCGCTAGAATTTAACTACCAATTATTTATTTCTCTGTGTTGAAACCTTCTTACTTGAAGCAGCAGAGCGAAAATCACCCACTGATAATACTTGTGCTGCTTGACCAGAGGATGATGATCGTGAACATGAACATCGGTTTTGCTGTTTGTAACACCAGGGTATGGCACAGCGCGTCCAATCGTCACATTGAATGCATTGATCATGCTGTATGTCGTGTGCAGCCAGCAGAAAGTCTCGAGGACTTCCTTGTCGACAGCGCCGGAGCTCTCGCAGTGAATTGGTGAGCCCGATATACTCTTGCATGCTAGGGTCAGACAGCCCGCGAGTAAAAATGCCACTGTTGCGCGATAGTGAAGGCGAAATATGAAGGTATCCTCTGATGCCCTCTGGACCTTGAAGAGAGATCTGAGGGAGCCAAAGATATCAATCATCTTCAGCATTATCGGCATAATCGGGGTGGTGCCTGTCGGGCTCTAGCACGTGAGTCTCAATGGAGTCATTTTTTTTCTTCGTGAAAATATCATCTGCATTGACTTCACTTGTTCACTTCAACTGATGCACTGCTGGTGTTTGTCACACACTGATCCGTGGGATTCATGGAGATTCTGCGGAATGACGGGGGCGAAAAAATTCTATTGGGTTTCTATTGAACATTCTTTTTGTTTTTGGCCGATTCTATTGAACAATTCCGCAGAAAATGCGGAGTTTTTTCTACAGAAAATGTAACGGAAAAATTATTTTACTGGAAAAATTAGTGGAATTTCATATTTCTATACAACTTTTTCTATAGGAATTTCTTGACGCAAATTTTGTAAGTCTTTTCCACTCTTTTTTTATTTTTTCATTGGTAATTAAAAATAAAAAACTCGGAAAATTTTAATCGAGGAATTTCTATAGAAAATCTTCTAAGAGAATAATTTGAATAAAAATCGAATTCTATTGATTTTTTCTATAGAAAATTTTTTCCATTGAAGATTTCCATTTCCATTGAGAAATTATTTTATTGAAAAAATCTGTAGAGTTTCAACTTTCTATACAACTTTTTCTATTTAAACATTCTCTATAGAAATTCCTCCACATGAAGTTTCCAAGTTTTTTCCACTCATTTCTTTCATTTTTTATTGATGAATGTAAACAAAAGACTCAGAGAAATTCAGCCGAGGAATTTCGAAAAATCGAATTCCATATTTTTTTTCTATAGAATATTTTCTATTAAAAATTTCTATTGAAACAAAAAAAACACGTAGATAAGCTGCAGAATTGTTTAGTGGAATCAACCAAAACTGATATAAAAATCAATAGCAGTTTGAATTCACTAGAAAATTCTTTCTATCAGAATTCTTCGGCATGAATTTTCCAAGTTTTTCCACGCCATTTTCCTCCTCTCTCGATTAACAAAATCGAAACAAAAAACTTAAATAAAAATTTCAGCTGAGGAATTTCCATAAAAAATATCTCAATCGAATAAATTGTATTAAAAAAGGGAATTCCTTTCATTTTTTTTCTGTAGAATATTTTTCGTTGAACATTTCTATTGAAACTAACAGAAAATTCAGTAAAAATCCAATAGAATTTTCCAACGAATTCGCTAGGTTTTTCCGTGAAATTGTTTCGTACGTGGATTGCTCTCGATGATCCTGACGATGATGATTATCCCCCCTGGATATGATTTTCAACACTCTGACAAAGTACATTATTTTGGGTAGTTTTGGGGGAAAGGGGGAGTCTTCGGTGCACTGGGGGAGCGAAACACGTGGAACACAGAGGCAACCTGTCACAAGACTGACTGGACTTGAGAGGCATCCCTTGGCCTCGACCAATACTTGGGGTTGTGCACATAACTCATATTATTCGCGAGTTTCGAGTATTAGGTATGAGTCGTCATGAGTGCGAGGGGTGGGGGTATGCTTGGGGGAGAAGTAAAGGTTTTTGAGGGGTAAAGAAAGCGTTTTTGGGGGTTTTCAAGGCTACAAAATCCCCAAACCAACAAAATTGGGGGATTTTTGCCATGTTTTTTTTTTTGAGTGAGATTTTCGGGGCCATTTTTATGCATTTGGGGTTTATTATTTTTTGAAAGGATTTTTCCGAATGCATGGAACCATAATTAGCTATGACTACTCAATTTATTATGAATAATCAATATTTTTAATAGTTAATTAGTACTATCTGTTCAAAAAATTAATAATTTTTTTTTTTGAGTTTTTGTCATTCAACAAATAACATTCAATATTCATTTCATCATTGAATTTCCGTTGTATTACGTTCGAATAGAATCGATGATGCACATTCAATACGTATTTGTTATTTTTTATGGCAAAAACATGACTGTTTTGAGAGTCTCCGTGATAATGAAATTGTGCGACAAAAGTGTGGAACAAAAATCGTATTCAGCACCATCCAAATTACATTTTACAACATCACATTTTTTTCTAAATAGTAATTTCTTCAAATAAATGAAACGAATTATTTAAAGGTGTAACAACTTTTGTCTTTTAAGAAATAAACTTCTAGAAACATTTTAAAAATTAATTAATTAACAAATTACGATTTTGGAAAAATTATTTCTGGAGGAGAAAAAGTATTTTTCGTTAATTAAATTTGAATAACTATTCGCTATTAATAGGTGAAGCCTCCCAATTCTTTATTTAGACTCTCTAAATTATTTCCCAATAAAAAAAAATTTCCAACGGTTCGAAATGAAAAACCCCGTGGAAAATTCAAAACTTCAAATACTAAAATCATGAAAACCAATGAATTAAAAAAATACAGTAAAAATTAAACCAAAATTAAAACATTAAAAAATGAAAAATAAAATGACAATTTTTTCATTTTCCAAATTTTTGTGGCACTTGCCTCCCAAAAAGTACAATTTTTACTAGCATCGTTGTATTTGTCGCTCTCAAATTGACAGTCACCCCACCTCGTCAGACCAAATCCCCAGATTTCCCCGAAAAAAAACGTCATGAAACCAAAAACCCAGAGATTAGGCATCAGAGACCAAACAGGAGAGTGAATGCATGGCATCCGGGTCATTGTCAACCTATAGTTAGAGTCACGCGTCAACGCGGAGAGGTGTTGAGCACTGCAATATTCCGTGGGAGACCTTATTACGGCCTCGACCGATTAAAATCTCCCCTTTTCGCTGGTACTCTTCCTCCTTTCCGCAACCACACCCAAGTCAATCCTCCCAAACCCTCGCGGAGAAGAAAAGTTTTGATTTTCAGAGACATGTCCGTGATTTCTCGGAAGATATCACAGATTTTCAGGAATTTATTCCCAATTATCCACGACAATATCTCTCATTTTCAGAGTCACATTATTGATTCGCATTTTTAATTTAAAAAATTTAATAGAAACCCCTATTAAATTCTAATGAATTTCTATTGGAACTCTATAAGAATTCTCTTGAATACTATTGAAAGAATTTTCCAAGAATTCTACTAAAAAAATGAATATATTTTTCTATAAAAATTCTTGAGCACAAATTTTCCAAGTTTTTTTCGCAGAATTTTTATTCGTTTCTCATCATAAAATCGAAGAAAATCCTAGGTTTCTCTATTGATGGAGTCAATCACTGACTTTCAGTGACTTGACTTTGGAGTCAATCACCGAATTCCAGTGACAAAAATCCCTCACAATCAGGGTGATTTCACTCGCTGCCCACTAATTGGCGCTAAATTCCCCAAAATCAGTGACACATCGCTGAAAACGAAACCATTTTTTTCTCTGTAACTGTGAACCCGTGGATTCGACTCCACTCGTACGTATACACACACGAGGTCCACTTGGAGCCATTCAATATACTTCTCCAGCTATTCTTGGACACATGAATAATACGAATAATGTCGTCAGGAATAATTTATCGATGGAATACGACTTTTATTGTCAACTTCAAGAGAATTTAAACTGAATCAACAGGGTACGTCTAATTTATGGAGTAATCTTCATCAGAATAAGGTGATAATTAATTTGAACATATAAACGTCTCTTTGATGGAATTAATTTTCGTTATATTTCAGAGACTTTTCAAGACATTTTAGATATTCATTAAACAATACGCTTTCATTTCGCCTCAATTGTTTCATGAGAACTAAATTGAATACAAATTATTATTATCATTATTATTATTATCATTATCATTATCCTATAAACAATTACTTAATGAATTTATCTATTCACTTTCTATCAAATAGGAAACGTCTGGAAAATCTCCAAATTTTTTTAAACTAAACTTGTTACTTTTTTTTTTAGTGTGAACGGATGTTATTTATAGAGTAATCGCCAGAATCAAGTGATAATTTATCCAGATATAAAAACTTAAACTTCCAAGACTTCTCAAGATGTTGCAGATATTTATAAAATAACACGTGCGACATTTATTTATAAAACAATACATTTCCATTTTTTAATACAATTTATTCTGTTTGAAAATGTTTGTCAGTTGAATTCTTCGAGTGTGAGCGATCAAATAAATACGGTTATCGTTATTATTATCATTATCATTACGATTATGCGATTCACTTTCTTTTTAATATTCAGATGAAATAGGAAACGTCTGGAAAATCTGTAATTTTTTAAAAATTAAACTTGTTATTTTCTTTTTATTGTGAATGAATTTTGTTTGGAGAGTAATCTTCAGAATCAAGTGGTAATTTATTTAAATACAGAAACTTTAATCTCGACGACTTCTCAAGACATTCATAAAACATTCATAAAATACCACGTAAAAAAATTATTTATAAAACAATTAATTTCCATTTTTGATACAATTTATTCTGCTCGAAATATTTTATCACTTAAATGTTTCAAGCGCGAGAAAAACATAAATACGGTTATAATTATTATTATTGTTTATTGTGTCATTTTTTGAAATTGAATCTTGCTGTTAAAATGAACACGTCTTAACAGCAAACATTTTTTAAACAAAAATTCGTTATTTTTAATTTTACTCGTGCTATTGAACAAAGTAATCATGACCCTCGTACTCTATCTCTAAGTAATACGCTTAGGGTTTCCTTCTTGGCAATGAACTAGATCTAAGACACTGCGGTAAGTAGAATGAGTAACAATAGTATCTTTCAACTCAACACCCACACCAGACACACAAAACCGTAGTGTCTTCAAACGAACTAGTCCATCGATTTCAGATAGCAAATATTCAACGACACGAAATTTCCCCTCGCCCTGCCCTCCTCGACGTTCACTCCCTATTATTGTCAATGCAACTTCCGAGCGTCTTATCGGGCTTTCCACACTGGCCCCTTGGCCATGCAAATTTCACGGATTTTCGGATGATACCGGGGAAAATTTCAACATTGAGAGATACAACAGGGGCCGAGGTGGGGCGTGCTCCAAGTTCGATGTAAGTAGGCCACAACGTCATGTATACACTCGTTTAAATATTCCATCCATGTTCATACACTGGCACTCGGTGTTTTCGTGCTTTTCCTTCTGTTGAAATATTTTTTTCATGAGTTTAAAGACCGTTTGAATCACGTGCACTCTTGCTCTCTCGAGTGGGAATTCCACCCGGTTGAACAGGCCGGCGGGGGAAGGGGGGGGGAAGGGGGTTCTCGACGGAAAATCCACTTTAAGGCGCACCGGGGAGGTCCCGAGACAACTGTTTACCCGAGTAAAACGTCAGATGGAAGATAAATCCACTGTAAAACGGGTTTTTCTCATTGATGGGGCTAGAAGTATCTTGCGGGGATATTGATTTTTCGTGGGTTTAGTTAATTGGGTTTTCGTTGGGGACTTTGTGGTGAGTTTTTAGCAAACAATGGGATGCGCTGGAAAGGTATTGAAGGGGCTGGGGTAATTAATTTTTTTCAGGTGAGGATATACAAGTATTTTGGAGATTTTTTCCTCAGTGAAATGTTTTTCTAGTTTTGTAGTCGAGTTTTAGAGCTTTCATTTGACCTGAGTTTCCGGACATTTTACAATGGTTTTATTATTTAAACTTTGCAGGTCTGAATTTGAATCTCGATGTGGAACCGTTAGGGAATATTGTTAAAATCTGGCAAAAAAAATAGAAAATTGCAGTTTTTGGAAATTACGCGAATTTTTTATAAATAGTTTATTTATTTATTTATTTATTTATAAATTTATTTATAACTAATGTTTAAAATAATAATAATTCGGTGCAAAATGTCATTCGAATGATGCTGAAAAGATATAAAATTCTAGAATTTTACACGGAGAGAAATTTTCTAGAAAAATTCTAGTACGAGTACTGGAAAAAGCACAATCCACCGGCTGTGAAAAATTTTAGTGCTGTTAAGATAAAATTTCTGGGGATTTCTGTACAATTTTCACAGAAATACGGGGAAAAATTCACGTTTTCCCCAATAAAATTTCTAGTTCCGGCACTGGAATTTTTTCCTGGCCGTCACTTTGCGCCTCTTTTCCCGTGTTAGCACTAGAATTTTTCTAAAAAATTTCTCTCCGTCTAGAAAAAAACTCTTCATTTCACGGAGAGAAATGTTCAGTAAAAATTACAGAACTCACAATTCGCTCACCGATTACGGAATCGACTCAGAAAATTGAAGGGACGGTATCGTAATTTTTCACAAGAGATTCAGAGAAAAATTAGGGAACGCTCTGGAAAAATTCCGTGACAGTTCCGTAAAATTTCCTACAACCACATTTCGCTCCAGAATTACGGAAAAGATACGTCATTTTTATTGAATATTTCTCTCCGTGTTGACATGAAAAAAACCCGCGTAAAACCAATGTCAAGTTCATACCGATTTATTGGATGAAAATAAAGTGCATTCAATTCAAATAACCATTTCCGTACGGAATTCAAGGAAAAAAATATTTCCATAAGTCACAAGTCAATCATTTTATCACCGCGATTTCCGAATTTAATTTAAAATCCATTACGATTTGTATATCAAAGTGAACTGTAGTGGCTCTTACCCTCCATACAATTTTCCCGTGACCTTCGGCGTTGAAAATCAACATTTGAAGAATCAACTGGACTGGTTAATACCTCAAACTGCCTCGAATATGGAAGAAACAATTATTGTCGACGAATTTTTCATCGAACTGCGTTATGTACGTGAGAAAGTGGCCATCAGCCCAGAATCCACAATGCGTTATAAATGAATATCCAATATGCCGTAATATTATGCAAGCGAAAAATATTATTCTTCGCTTAAGACTTCAGAAACCCTACAGTGGATAGCGATCCGAGAGTTCACTTTTTATAAGTTCAATATTACTCATGTAACTTTGTGGCTATGAAATATTGCACTTATTTTCACGTTTAATTCAAACAATCTGAAGCTGTAAATCTCGGGATTTTAAACACTTCACCAAGTCAAACGATACTAACCCGTGGAAATCCTGTTAAACAATCTAATGAATGGAGCGCTTGTCTATCAATCCATACAACTTCAACATTAGCTTTAAAATGTTTCATAACATGTCGAGCGTATCAAGATCCGTAAGGAATTGTGGAATTACCTCTATCAATCGAATAAAAAAAGGTTGAACCAAGAAAAAAGTTCACTCTTTAACAACAACAACTTGAAGAGATCGAAACGGACTATTTTCATCTTCATTAGTTTGACAATAGGAGTGTGAAATTTCCCAATTTTTTTTCACTTAAATGATATTTTTTCAGTCTTCAAAATTATGTATACAAATCATACCGTTCGATCAACAGATATTAATGACAAATGAATTTTTGTTAAATTAATTATTTTAATCGGTGGCCGGAGTTTTTTCCTCCAACAAAAATTCCCCGGAAGAAATTCCCCCGTCAAAATTCCCCCGGAAAAAAACCCCCAGAAAAAATGGGAATGGTGTTCATGCCGGGGGAATTTTTTACGGGGGATTTTTTTCCGGGGGAAATTTTTTTTTCGGGGGATTTTTTTCCGGGAAATTTTTTCCGGGGAATTTTTGTTGGGGGAATAAAGTCCGGGAACGATTTTACTCTCTTTAATTTTTGAGCTGATGACTTCGATTTACGACAGAAAATCCTCGCACCCATTAAAAAGCACCTAGCAACTGTCTAATTATTTCTCCATAAACCTATCCTCTTCCTCCACACCCCCAAGATGACAATGACTCAAACTAAAAATCCAAGTTACCTGCAGAAATAGCATGAAGCACACCCACTGATAGTATCTGTACTCCTTCCTCTCGCTCTCCGGATACAATTTTGAATTAGCAACACCTGGAAATGGCACCTCGGAGCCCTCCTTCTTCTTGTAAGCCGATCTTATCGTGTAAGTGCTGTGAATCCAGCAGTAAGTATTCAGAACATCCTCCGGTAAATCCTTGCTGTGAATGCAATCAATCGGATTGCCGACGTACTGTCTCGTCGTGACAATGAGTGAGAAAGCAATCAACAAAATAACCGTCAAACTGTAATGCAGCCGGAAAACAGGTGTGTCAATGTGTATGTGTGAGATCTTTATCAGGCTCTTGAGGCCGCGGAATATGTCCAACATTTTTCGTGGCGAATTACCACGTTGTGATAACTTATCTGTGACTGAATAATAGTGACGGATGCTGTTGCCACTTATTAAATCATTGGTCCTCAGGGGTGTCTCGGGATTATCACTGATATTGTCCAGGTTGATTTTTTATTTCGATGATTTTTTCTACGACCCGTCAATCTCTTCACATGAACCACTCCCAGCGGTTCACCATACGACTTTACACTAATCCAAGGCCACGGACGTTGCATTGCTTGTTATAAATTTTTCTGCTCAATTTTTTTATTGTTTGTTTATGTTGATTTCATGTCTTTAAGATTTTAGGATTTTAGGATTTTAGGATTTTAGGAGTTTAGGAGTATAGGATTTTAGGATTTTAGGATTTTAGGATTTTAGGATTTTAGGAGTTTAGGATTTTAGGATTTTAGGATTTTAGAATTTCAGGATTTCAGGATCTCAGGATCTCAGAATTTCAAGATCTCAAGATTTCAGGATTTTTGATATTCGTCAATTATTCGTTTTATCTTTATCATTCGTTATTACCCGGATACCCGCTGAATCTCGTCATAATTTTTTTTATTTCCTCCACAATCGTCTCAATCCGTCAGACATTTGTCTCAGCCCCTGATTTGTTTACCTCCAGTCCTAAAATCACCAAGCGCAGACTGTGCACCACTTAGCATTGCCACACATCCCCCAGGATTTTCCCACCGACATGTCCTCACCTCCACCTGCCCCTCGTCAACGTCACTCCCATGTGCTCCGCCGTTTTTCTTCATTCGTGACGCGTACGTGGGACTACCGAATACAAAACACCTGTTGCTCACCACGAGACCGACTCTGATATTCAGGACTCTTTTCCTCGCCCGCAAAACCCCTGCACTTTTTCAATTATTCTCGGAGTCACAAAATTCCCCTCATCAATTAAATCACAATTAATTCCGTTGGAGGGGGTCGCAGGGACTAGTTTCGTTATTTATGTCTCAACGGTCTGTTGCAGTATTGTGTAATATAAACAAAATACGAGAGCCTTCATCAAGACTCGGTGAATTTAATTCTCAGTGTCTGATTGATGCCGGAAAAATCCACTAACAAGGCCTCAAGTTTTTTTTCTTTCGTTTGATGTGCGCGCCATTCTATTTTAACGTGTACAAAATGCACATCGGCGACTCCGGGTATTTCACTCTCTCCTCAGCTGTACCGGCCGACGCACTGGGGAAAATATGTGTGCACGACAATATACAGAAATAGAGCGGATAGACTCGTTCTCTTCTTCATCATTACTTTTCATTCCTTTCTGTATCGCTCATGCATTCTTTTTAAATGGGATATTCCGATGCATCAGACGGCAGTTTTTGGGGCTTACACTGGGGCGCGTGCCTGTCAACCTGTCGCAATATTCCGAGATTTTTCCCGCGAGGTGGATTTTCGCGTGGGTGGCTGTGGATCATCGAACGTTAGTCATCCAAGATTTCAGGGAAAGAACTGGCGAGTCGTTTGGCACATGCTGCAGGGTGGGGAGTCGTGGTTCAGTCGGAATGTTTTTTACTCAAGCCGGTGGTGTGTCTTCTTCAACTTCGGATAGTGCAGATTTAGCGCGAAAACACGAGCATCCGTCCAATGGAGATTGCGATAATTGAGCAACACTATTTGTGATTCATGACATGTTATTTAACATTCTCGTCATTCACCCGCGCACTACTGTTACAACCTGGACCGCCACACGCCGGGGATACGAGACTCACTAGTCGCGGGTCTCCACGCTTCTCGGGTGGAAAGGCCCGCCGTTGAGAAGAGGAGTTTTCAGTGTTGGGCTCCAGGAATAGAAACACCCGAAGACCCCGCGCGACTTCAGTTGATGTTAACGCAAGCCGCCGTAAAATCACTTCGGGTGGAGTTGGGATGGCTTTTAACGAAACGAGTGATTAATGACGGCTAATTAATGAGGGTTAATTGATTTTTGTTTATGATTGGGTCAACTGGGCCGTCTTTGATGGAGGATTTCTCGGGATCGGCAGAGTGACTTCCCCTAATTTTTCTTTCATTCTTGAGGTACTTTTCCTGGCTTTAATATGAAATTTGATTTATCGAAATCGCATCGTTGGATCGCGAGATATAGAGGATCAACGAGATGATTGGGGCGCCAACCTCGTGTAATTATCTTAACGAACGTCTTGATAATTCGCCTCATTACGCGTCATGTTTACATCGAGTAATAAATAAGAATCATCAATCACTTGCTTGACACATGATGCCCAGAATCCACGTTATTAGCTCTCGCATCATCGCTCATTCGGGATTTTTTTTTTTCTCTCGATTTTATTTTTATGGCGGCCATGATGAACCCTCCAGGGTCATGTGGCTGTACTGCACGTGTGTATTTTGCGTGTAATAAAATATGGGAAACTGTACATGAGGCATCAAACCACTCAAGTCATTATCTACAACTCGATAACAATTCAGCCATATTGCGAGCGTCCAACAACACAGGTACTCTTTCTCCTTTCGTTTAACGAGTGATTCTATAAAGATTTGCTACAGCTGAATGCATTAATAGAGCTTTAACCGACGTATATGTAATAAACATATTTGAGCGCACGTGCGCATCTAAATTCGTGCATACGAGTGAGCACGCGTTATCGTTAGTTGGTCGTTGCTCTCGGATAATTTATAACTTGATATTTATCAGCCTTCAAAATAGACGTCAGTCATTCTCGATTGGGGGGATGTGATAACACCAGTGGTAGAGGCAAAATAATTTTTGGATTCGGGAGGATTATTAGGAGTGACAGGGGGTGCAGGCGCTAATGAAGGGGATAATTTCATCAGTGTCGAGGTTTGTTTCATGTTTTTGGGAGAGATTTTCATAAAATATTCGGACCAGCATAAAAGATGAAATAATAAAATCATACAATCATAATATTTACTCGATTTTTTAAATCCTAAAATCCTCAAATCTTAAAATCCTAAAATCCTGAAATCCTAAAATCCTAGAATCCTAGAATCCTAAAATCCTAAAATTCTAAAATCCTCAATTCTTAAATTTTTTTTTTACCATTTATTGACATCCCAGGGACGGCGCCCTATAGCAGGGGGGATTCACAAAATACAACAGATGTAAAAATCTTAGAATATGTAGAGAAAGCTCCTCAAGTATTATAAATGACTCAAAAGTTACAGTAGTTTACAAAAATATCAGTTGAACTTATAGATGAAGCTACACAATAAAATTTCAAATCTTAAAATCGTAACATCCTAAAATCCTGAAATCCTAAAATCCTAAAATCCTATAATTTCAAAATCCTCAAATCTTCAAATCCTAAAATCCTGAAATCCAAAAAAATCATGATTTTATAAATAATGATTTTAGAATTTTATCTTGCCTGTTACAAAATTGGACTTTCAACACTGGATTTCAATAAAATCAATATTTAATCAACAATTGTCAACGCCGTTGAGTTCTACAACCCAAAAATCACCTTCGTGATATGGATTTCTTTTCAATCACGTTCACCAGATTCATTTCCATGTCTAGGGTGTTCACCCAGACGGATGTGTTTCAATGAAGGTTCGACGATAGGAAAAATAAATATCTGAAATGTGTGTCTCGCCTCCCTTTTTTGTACCTCGATTTCTCGACTTTTTATTTCCGTCAGTTTTTATATGCGCGTTTTCGAGGCCGATTCTTTTATCGCCCCTTCGCGTCTAGTATATGGCTCACATTCCTTTTTTAAACAGCGAGTTTTGGACCCCCGATGATCACTGTTTATCCAGCTTTTGACGTTAAATCTGTATGTACTAGGGGATTTTCTTACTCTTGCTCGTCTCCCTTTCGCCCGGCTTTTGACACCCCATGGAAATAAATATATGTTTATAAATAGGTGGAAGTATATTGGGCATAGATCTGATATATATTTTACATACAAGAATACATGTTAAAAAATCATACTCCACGCAATTAATTTCGTTCCGTGTTTGGGTATAGCCCAGGCAAACCCTATTTAATCGCCAAAAACAATCTTACAGAAGGAAACTGTTACAACACGAAGAGAACGTGAATCAAAACCTGAAGAATCTCGGTTTTTACAGGAGTTGGGCGGATTTTACGACTAGACGGAATCCCCCATTTTTCTGGTGTAACTCCCAGAGACAAATAGAGGGCAATGTGTCTCCCTTGAAGCTACTGGAATACGGTACACGTTCGTGATTTTATTTTTGGAAAAATGAATAGCAGGATTTGCGGGAGAATTTGTTTACTTTGGAGGGATGAGATTACATTAGATTTTTTATCGTTATCTGTTCTCATATCTTGCTGTACAGCGTATCTTCCTCGAAGAAAATATGAGGATGATCCGGGGTTTGCTTGCAATTTTCTCTTCGTTGCATATGAAACTGAAGGAATCATATTCAACACAGTGATCGGCATTCATCATTATTCCAGAAATATTAAGAGAATTATTTCCCCAAATAACCGAATTCATTCGTTTATCATTGGAACTTGGAAAATAATAAATAATTGAGAATTTAAATTTTTTCAATAACTATTAGGTAAATAATGGGAAATTTTCGAAAAATATTATAGATTATCAAATAATCGTCATTCTTCCGAATTCGATTATTGATTGGTAAAATAATTCGGAATTCAAATATTTAATTGTTGATTAATTTAATAATTGAAAATTGTCAAGTTCTATTACTTGATTGATTATTTATGAAATTAATGGTAAATAACTGACATTTCTTCAATTGATCATCATTTCATGTAATAAAATAGCTTATAATTCTATTCTTGAAAAATGAATTGCGATTTTTTTTTCCGAACTCAATTTGACGGATGTAACTGAATAATAAATCTGACAGATGATTTGTTCCAGAAGATTCAAAACATCATCTCTCAATTTCTCTAGCACCCATCATTATTCCAGAAATATTAAGAGAATTATTTCCCCAAATAACCGAATTCATTCGTTTATCATTGGAACTTGGAAAATAATAAATAATTGAGAATTTAAATTTTTTCAATAACTATTAGGTAAATAATGGGAAATTTTCGAAAAATATTATAGATTATCAAATAATCGTCATTCTTCCGAATTCGATTATTGATTGGTAAAATAATTCGGAATTCAAATATTTAATTGTTGATTAATTTAATAATCGAAAATTGTCAAGTTCTATTACTTGATTGAGTATTTATGAAATTAATGGTAAATAACTATGACATTTCGTCAATTGGTCATCATTTCATGTAATAAAATAACTTATAATTCTATTCTTGAAAAATGAATTGGGATTTTTTTTCAGAACTCAATTTG